GTGAGCCCAAAGACGAAGTGGGCAGAGAGACAAAGGGTAGTCATAGCGATAGGGTAGTTTCGGCCATAGCCGCCATGGCTGTAGTGAGTGTTCAGTGTGTGTATGTGTGTGAGTGTTCAGAGAGACGCGTGTGGAATATCCAGGGTGATCCATTGTATGCGAACAGAGAGTTGTATGCGCTGTATCGCCATAGCCAATGAACTCGTGTCTCGGTTGCCATATCTCTGAGTACTGAGTGGGTGCATGTCGCCAGTTTGCTGCGCTACTGTTTGCATGCATGTACAGTGTGAATGAAAGCAAGTCTGATTGCATTGGTATCAGAGCTGGTACCCGCTATTCCACGCGTAGCGTTGTGTGTCGCAGGAAGAGTGTTGCGCCATTGCTGAGGTGGCCGCCGAAGGAAGAAGTCCGCCATAGCGGGCCTGAAGGTTGAAGAATCCGCCGCACAGACCTGCAGAGAAGACCACGACGAAGAAGAAGACCGAGAGAGAGAGAGAGAGAGAGAGAGAGAGAGAGAGAGAGAGAGAGAGGGAGAGAGAAAGGTTGAGTGATACAAGATTGGCTTACGACGTTTCTGCGTTGAAGACATCGCTACGGCGAGAGTGAGAGAGAGAGAGAGGGAGAGGAGAGAGATGAGCGATACAAGTTTGGTTGTCACTTACCTGTGAAGTGTGCCGTGCAGTCCCGTGAAGTGAGAGGCGGGCATAGCTGCGGAGCTCGACCACAGAGGGACGGAGGAGGTTGAGAGAGAAGGTGAAGGAGGAGACCGAGAAGGGAGAACGAAGCCATAGCTGAGAAGGAGAAGAGAGAGCCGATCAAAAAAAAAAAAAAAGAGAAAGAAGACAGTCAGGGTGGAGAAGAGAGAGGTGAGGTGAAGAGAAGGAAGGAGAAGAATGGTGAGGAAGGTGAAGCCGGCAGCCATAGCTGACCGGGAGAGCTGACCAGGCGTTGACCGGGCATTGACCGGAGTTGACCGCCGTTGACCGGAGGTGTTGACCGCCGTTGACCGGAGCTGACCGGGGGTTGATGCAGCGTTGACCGAGCGTTGACCAAGCCGTTGCCCACGAGTTTGACCAAGCTGGAGCCGGTATAATCTCGCCAAGCCTTCAGCCTATCCCCTCGCCCTATGGATGTGCACACACCCTGTCGTACTTGCTGAGTCAAGTCTGTCTGTCTCTTCTTTCTACATCGAGTCTCTTCTGTCTAGGTGTAGGAACTCTGTGGATGAAGGATAGGGCCTCGTTGACCAAACCCCTGCCGGACTAAGTAGGGCTAAAGACTGTGTCTGACGACTCGACTGTCCCGGAGGCCTAACCCTTCCAAGGACCGGTACAGACCGGCGGGCTGCTCAGTGTGGCACGGTAGGCCCGAAAGGCTGAGTTGTGGGCTGTACAACAGGCATTGAGAGACCTGCTGATCGCGTCGTCCTGTTTGCGACGTTAAAGAATTCCTGAGGAGTTACGAGGGATCTCCTTAAATGCCTCCTGATCAGCAATAGGTCTAGTAGTGACAGCCTTGGACTAGGTCCAGGCTAGTGACCATAGTTGACAGGATCCTGTCCGGATTCTGTAAGTTTTAGATTGAGTCAGTGGGTGAGTCAGTCAAGGAAAGTAGCGTCTAAGTGGTGAGGAGTGGAACCGCTATCTGGTTGTGCACCTTCCACCATGGTTGACACCCGTACAGGCAAGAGTACCGCCCCCTCCGAGGCCGCGCAGGCCCGGGTTGCCGCCCTTTTGAAAGAAAAGAGAGAAAAGAAGACACCCTTGAAGCAGGCGAAACTAAAGGCTATTGAGGAGGAAGAGGCGGCACAGAAGAAGAGATTGGAGGAGGAGATGATGAAATTTCGGAAGGAGAAGTTGATGTTGATAGAGAGGGAGAAGGAGGAAAGGAGGAAGGCTGCAGAGGAAGAAGCAGCAAGAGAGGTGGAAGAAGAAAAAGAAGTGCCCCTAGAAAAAAGACGCTGAGAAGAGAAAGGGGGAACCAGTGGCACGAAAGAGGAAGAAGACAGATGGAGGGAGAAGAAGATCAGCGAATGGGTGGCTAATTTATTATTAGGAGAAGATGAAGAGGCACTGCTGTATGTGTCGCAGGAGGAGAGGGAGGCGTTTGCCCAGGCATTGGAGATGATAGACGATCTTGTGGAACGCCAGGAGGCAGAAGATGAGAAGAAGCTGGAGTGGAAGCTGAAACTGATGAGGGAGAGGAAGAGAAGGAGGGAGGAAGCCAGTCGAATAGCCGGTGAGGTTGAGCGTGTACGAATCGGCAAGCAAGGGCTGCAGGCCCAAACGGAGGTCTCAGCCAAATTGGATAAGATGATGGGCTGTGTGGAGATCTTGAGTGAGGCCTGGCTAGAAGAGCACCAGGCCCGTAAGGGCTAAGATGTGACTCTGCAAGCGATGCG